TAAATTGAGGAGTATGATATATATGGAATAAAACGATTATGCTAATTTATGAGTTCAAGATCAAGAGCAAGTGTAGGAAGCTAATATTGATACTCGACGTGGGGGGGGGGAGAAGAACAGAGAATACAGAGTATTTTGACAGACAGAATGTCACTGTAGCCTTCTTGTGACAACCCTTCCCATGTAAGAATGACCTACAAGATTGGGTTTCAACTTCCTCTTTCGACTCGACCATCATCGACTTTCAGAAGTGACGTCTTGTTTAAAGTCCTGTCTATCTATTTTCGTATATGCTCGTTGAAGTATCATCTAGGGTAGCATCGCAGATCGTAAAGGAGACCGATATTTTGACAATACAGTTTATACTTTGAAAAAAAGGCTTGATATGAACAAAAATGTATATCTTTTGAAGTCTTAATATCTTTAAAAGAAATGGAGAATCATTTAAAAGGATTTGTATTGACTTTTATAGTTGCATTCACAAACACATAAAAATGTTGTAAGGGGACTTTTGGGTCTTAATGAATCAACATGTATAATTTGTGTTGACATGTCATGTTACAATAACTTTAAGGGGTGGGGGGAGATCACAGTGATGATGGTGATGATTTACTGATGATGATGATGATGGTGATGATGCTAGCTGTCACTGACGATGGTAATGCTGATGGTGGTATAGCTAGTCTTGCCATATTGCCCGTGCTAGTGATTACTTGTATCTTTAGAGAGCTAGTTGGAGCTATTACACCACCCTCGTCCATTGTATTATAATGATAAAGTTGACCTTCTTGTTGTTTATGTTTGAGTTAATGAGGCCTATCCCATACATCTTTACATGAACATCATATAAAGCAAAGTTTGTTCAACAAGCTCTTTGTTTGACCAAAAGTCTGGTCCTGTCTGGATTTGTAGGCACATACTTAATCATCTTAAATGTTAAATACGTTAACCCATTACTTACTAGAACCAGGGGACCTGGTATTAAAAGACAATCCAATCCTTATAATAAGTTCATTTGAATGAAAGCAGAAATATCAGAGACACAGAATGGTGAAAGTTTGACACAAATCGGACCACTATAGAGAAAGTTATGAATGTTTGAAAAATGAGATCACTACAGCTATGCAAATCTCAAATTGGCAATTTTGTCAGTGGATTGTGCACTCTAAAAACTGAAATGTTAAATCACCATTTAAAAGGGCCGAGGAGTAACCACTTTTTTAAAATGGTAGATTAACACTTTGAACATGCTGGATCCAACACTATAAAGGTTGAATCTAGCAGGTTAAAAGTACCAATCTGACACTTTGAAAGAGTTGTCACTCCTCGGCCCTTTTGAATGGTGATTTAACATTCCAGTTTTTAGAGTGTGACGTAGTAATGGATAAGTTGTGATATGGTGGTGATGGCAGTGGCAATGGCAAGGCTTTTAACAATGATGATGATAATGGTGAAAACTATAAGAATTGTCATTTTTATGATATCAATAAGATAAATGTTGATGTAAATGATATGAAAACCATTCTCTGATGAATTAGTACCATCACTTGAACAGAAACATTTCCTAACAGTAATCATTGTATCATAATGAAAGCCTGACCTTATATATATTGACATTCAGGGGCCTATCCTCGTACATCTTTTCATGTATGACTGACAGACAGTAAACACATACCTAATGATTACTATCTATCAATGTACCAAAGCTATTTGTACAAAAGGTTAACATATTTACACCAAGCTGTAAAATCAGCCCCAGATGCTCGTACCCAAACAAAGATCAATTTAGTAGAGCCAATTGCTTCTCTCCTATCCTAATATCCTATTTAATGTTATCATCCTCATGTTTCTCCCAGCCTTCATGTTCAGACATTTCTCCTTACACTGTTAACTCACTAAAACCAAGCAATGTCTATTACTGTTAACTCACTTAAAAACCAAGCAATGTCTATTTTATTAAGCCTAGTATTAAGAAATTTTAAAACATTTAGAATTATGTCAGGGCTTAGCACTTATTGGTCTTCTTGTGATTTTGCAATTTAAAAACACTTTTATTTTAGTGGAAAATTGTCATTTGTTTGGGAATAAGGGTTTCATCTTTGAGACTAGCACCGTCTTCCACTTCTGTCATGTATTATCTCAGGTCACCTAAGTTGCAGTGTAACATTTGTTTTAGATTTCAACATGAAAGTTTTGAGGAAAGTGAAAACAGCAGAGGAATTTGTTCTCCCATCTATGGGATGGCATCAACGGCTGGTGTGTGGATGAAGTATGTGAGCATCTGTTCCTAACTTCACTCCTCCCCTTCCGCCCTCTCTCTCTCTCTCTATCCCTCTTTCTCTTTCTTTATCTGTCTCTCTCTCCCTTTGTCTCAGTCTTGAATTATCTATCTATTTATTTATTTTTTATTTTTATTTTATTTATTTATTTTTTTTTGGGGGGGGGGCTCCTTTTTTCTCTTTTTCTCACCCTCCCTATCTTTTTCATTTTCTCTTTTTCTATGAACAGATAGATTCATAGATAGAAAGAAACATGTATATAGATGGATAGATGGACACATACCATAGGTTGATAAATGGATAGATAGATATATAGATAAAACAACAGAACCATGTTACATACTACAAAGCACAAGCATGGAAATTTCAACATTAACAAAATGTATGTAAACAAAAGATAGATTTATGTCTTATGATATTCAAAACCTTAAAAGGGCAGATAAAAATCATCATGCTTGTTTTAATGATAATGAAGAAAAAACAAGTACAGCATTTTTCCTGATTGCATGTCAGTTTATGATTTTAATATCCTTTTTCAGCCACATTTGTAACCACTCAAGTTCTATCTCTGGGAAAACCTTTCCCATGCATTGAAAGATTTATAATGACATTCTTATCTTATCAAAATCAAGATCCACAGCCCCCATTTGATATGAATAGAAAGATGGAGCTGCACCTTCAAATGTGTGATTTGGCCTTTTCGTTAGTTTTGCTTTGGAAAAGATGAGTTTCATTGAAATTTTTATGAATGGGATGATTTATCTAAGGGCATGATGGACTACTCGATGAACAGATGTTGGGCTTGTCATTAGCTCATCCTTTGAATGCATTTTTATAACCGGACAGATGGTATGCTGTATGTTCCATGCAATATTACTACAGAGTACAACCTAATAGATGCGTGGTGTGTATGAAGATGTAGAGACAATAAGAGAGAGCAGTAGAGGAGAAGAAAGAGAGACTGAACACAAAACGATATTGAGAAATGTAGAAGAGACCAGAAGGGGGCAACAGACAGATAATTAAGGGAATTACAAGAGTAGTAAGGGGGTGAGAAATTAGACCATTTTTTGCAATAAGTATTGTTTAAATATAAAAGAAAACTAAAGAAGATGTCGTGCCTTTTTTCTGTTTCCTCTTTTTTTTTCTCCTTTGTTCTCTGTCTGTCTCTCTTTCTCTCTCTTTCTTTCTCTCTCTCTCTCTCTCTCTCTCTCTCTCCCTCCCTCTCTCTATTTTCTGTTATTCCAAATATCAGTCAATACAAAACACCCATTTACATGTATCTAACTGCGCTGCTCTTGATGAAATGTGAAGTTTTAGGTCGATATTTTTTTCATCTCTGTTTTAATAAAGAAAAATGCATTATGAAATTATTTCTTTTCACGGAATTTCAACCTGACCTCTGAAAACTAGAACAAGTAATGGATTATCAAATTTACAAACAAATCAACAGACAACTTAAGTGTGCACCTGGCCTTTGTGGAAAATAAAGAGATATATTTAATCAAAATTTAGTGTCCTTGACTTTGCAATTATTTTTAGAGAGATTAAGTGATATCTGTCTCAAACTATGTGTATTTTGGGTTGCATCTATAATCAAGAACTTGTAGTCATGGTTAATCTTAATGTCAATCTTGATATATTGGTATTTATATCAATTTTCTGTAATTGAAAATGCAGCATGTCTTACAAATTTGACCTACAATGCTTCTCGCTTAAAGGCATGTTGAGGTAAAATGCAATATTATAACACTGACAATTTTATCCAAGATCTGATCATAGAATTTTTGAAGTGAGAAAAATGAAGATGAACAAGGCCCAAAGGCCAAAGTGATTCTAGAAGATCAAACATGGTGTAAACCATATTAAATTGGGTATACACTGGAATCCAGATTGTCACATATTTTAGTTGATACCTGTTTAAAAAGACCAACAAATTCATGGTTTTGAGTTCGAGGTTTATTATCATCTTTTTATATCATTCTGGTTCTCAGCTGATAGTATGTGCTCAAATTGGCCATTGTTTACTTTTGGATTCTACTTTTATAATTTTGTTACACTGATTTTCAGATTTAAGCTTATAATTCATAAGAATGCTTGCTTGATTTTAAGTAGTTCAAAGAAATGATCCCTTAAGCCAGTGTTAATTTTTGTGTACTCCGAGAATAGTTACAAATGGGATTCATTTCAATATTACCCAGTCCCTTTTAATACTTGTCTTGTAGGTACCCCCCCCCCCTTCATTCCCCGTTTGTTTCTTTTTCACCCACACAGTAAACCCATTTGGATGTTGAAATAACCTTTTTTTAATTAACATAGTTGTAGCATTGATTTGATTAGAGAAAATGTTTTTGAAATTAGCAGGGCTGATTGTTGCCTGATGTGCAATCATTGAAAACTAATTGCAGTTTTCATTCCTAAAAGTGTAGGCTGTGTAGCCCTTCACAGCAAATTAATAGTTTATACCACATAAAAGTGGCTATTTTGTGAAGTTTTTTTGTTTCACATACATCTGGGCTAAAAATTTAAGAACATTGTTCCAAATTTAAAGTCACTAACATTGTAATGTACAATACTATGCAATGTACTATGCAAATGAATGCTACAACTTTCATGTTTAAGTTTGCATGATTTGAGTTGGATTGTTTTATATTATCACTATTGTGTATTATATTATTTACTCATTTATATATATGTTTTCCTATGATTTACCTCATATAGTAGTTGTCGATGATCCCGGAATATTTTCTCCTAGTGCTGGAGACACAACGTCTCAAAACCCAGCTGGTGAGAGAGTGTTTTCTTTTTTCTTTCTTTCTTTCTTTTTCTGAAAATTAATCTCTTAAAGGGGACGTCTAGACCTTTTTATAATCTTTTGCCCAACTTTTACCTTTGCACACTAACTTTCAATTTCTCTTGACTTCAATATTTATTAAGTTTTCCATTTTTTTTTAAAATCCTGATTGCGTGTATTTAATTGAATATGTAGGCCCTACATTTTGATCATACAATTATTGTAAAGTTTCAGGCAAAATGTAAGTCAGGCTATTTTAGTAAATGTTTGCAGGAAACTTTGCATAAATTATAATTGTGAAGAAGAAAAATATATATATCAAAAGCTGTGTAACTCTGTGGTTAAAATCAGTAAAGAAAATTAGTGTGCATAATGAATATCTGTGCTAGTTATACAAAAATGGTCTGGGCTTATCCATATTATCTTTGCTGCCTAGTCCTCTATCCTTACTACATTACATTTTATATCCTCATCTATATCGATTCCTGTGTATTGCCTATTTACTCCCTTCTTGCTCAATTCAACCTCGTTTATGAAATTAACCTTTTAATTTACACTTTTAATTTACACTTTTATTTATTTTAGTTCACAATACCTCCCTTATAAATGTTAAATGTACATTTATATATCTTGATTATACTTTTCTGTGTACAACCCTTGTAACATAAAACATTGAATGATACGACAGGGACCAGTGGAATGTTGTTCAATTAATATATAATTCTTGCCTAGAGAGGGCTCTCTTCCGCTTTGATTTTGTCAACCTGAGAATTGATTATTCAGATTGCACTCTCAATACAAGCATGACATCATCCATCGTTCATCTGGTGCTGTCCCAGGCTGGGTTGGTCTGAATTTAAAATGCAAAGGCTTAACAATTAATAGCTAATTTAAGCCAAACATGCTTCGATTTTGTACCTACATTAAACAGTTTCTGACAAAGAACACTTGCCTCATTCCTGTTGAAATTCAACATAATTTCATGAGTGAAATAAGATGACATGGAATTATTGTTGTATCAAAATAATGAATGAAATAAGACACTGGTTCACAACTTGTTTCACAGAAATTTATTGTTAATACATGAAATTTTGAAAATATAGTGTCATTTAGAACGATTTCTCTGCTCTAAATTATGTTATGCTTGTGAACAGAATATTGATGTATATATCAGTGATGTTGAACGAAATATAGTACCAGTAGCCTATCTGTAAACCATGAGGGTTATTCTAGGAATATTTAGTTACCAGTGCGACAATGTTTTTCTTCTTCAAATATTTAGCTGGCGGCAAGAATGGGCTCTCCAAGCAGATCCCCGTTTACATCGGCATCTCTCTGGCCATCGTCGTGCTCCTCCTGGTCTTCCTCTTCATCGCTATCTACCTGGTCACCAAGAGGAAAAGGGGGAACTCCCCCAGCTACACCACCACCTCCACCGGTAAGAGAATGAATGATGCGATCCAGTGATGATGTGCAAAGTGGATGAATAATATAATAATAATAAAACAGTGCTTATAAATAATAATAATAATACTACTCAGATTTTATATAGCGCTTATTATAATCACTAAGCGCTAAACTTGGAGATTGTGTTACCCCGGCTTTAGCTGTGCTGCCATTTCAGCGCTCTAGCATTTCGAAGAATGAATTCCTGCCAGGTACCCATTTACATCACCTCGGTTGAGTGTGTCAAATGTAGATCAATGTCTTGCAAAAGGACTTTAGTGCTTTCCACAAAAGTCTCTTAGCGCTTTTTCATTTAAAAAATCGCAATTGATGCATATAGCAAAATAACAAATTTCCAGTAGGTTCCAGGTACAAACTTCTTCCACTGGTGTAAATATAAAATCACGAAGATCACAAAAAGACACTTAATTTACCAGAAAACGAGAGAGCACATAAGAGTGGTCGCTTGTAAGGTGCACCTCCTCCTCTAATAGGAGGGAACAGGAGTGTGGAGTGTGGGAGGATGTTGGTGGATATATCATCTTCTCTTCATGTTGCTTTTCCCTCTACCTACCCCCCCCCCTCTCTCTCTCTCTTTCTCTCTTTCTCTTTCTTACTTTCTCTCACTCTCTCTTCCCCTCTCTCTCTCTCTCTCACTCTTTCTCTCCCTCCCCCTCTGTCTGTCTGTCTCTCTATCTCACTCCGTCTCTCCCCTTCTCTCCCTCTCTCTCTCTCTCTCCCTCCCTCTCTCTCTCTCTCTCTCTCTCTCTCTCTCTCCCTCTCCCTCTCACACACACACAAACCCACCTTTCAGTGATGAGAGGGGTAGCTACAATGCCAGATTCAGTGTCACCATTACAATTAATGTACAGTCATTTTTAGTAATACTAGACTCTAAATTGTATTCAGAATGTTATTCTTAATTCAAAATTGCTCGTATTAAATTGACTTTAATCTTTGAATAAACTTTTATGAATGTAAAAGTCGATTTCAAGTTTGTAAGATATTAGTATTGTGTGAATCCTGTGATATTCCTTGTTCATTTGTAAAACATTTTCTTACCGTTCATACCAGAGTGTTAAATTCTTGTTCAGAAATATCAAAAGTAATTGTGTAGCATGAATGATACAAGCATGTCAATGTATTTTTAAAAAAGACATAAAAGCATTTTTGTCAAAATGATTTGTATGGATTCCCCCCCCCCCCCCCAATTTTTTTAAAAGTAGGGAGTATGTGTTGCATGCCATAGAAGAAAACAGCAGTAATATTTCGGGTTAACATGCATGAGAAATTGAAGGAAAAGAAAAGTCAATTGACTTTGCTAGACTATATGTCCCTTATATGGAAAAGGAAAATTGCTAAGACTTTTCGTTTGTCATTGTTTTATTCCAGTACTTTCAAAATGCCTGAATTTATGTTTGCTTATTAAAAAATCCAATACATTGTCATATCATGTGTGTTTGTCTCAGTTGATATTTTTGCTGCATTTCTTTGTTGAAAATTATCCGTTGTGCTGAGATTTAGAAGGCAGTGACTATCGTTGATGCCTCTGTGGATCTACACTCTACAGTCATGAGATGCAGAGTGTTCTCTTAATGATGCAAACATTTGGAGAACATGCACTTTAAAGTCAAAGCACTCTTAAAAAAAGAAATCAATCATGTTTCAAAGCATTGTATTGTATTTTGCTGCTTGTATTTTTGTTTGCATGAGAATTCAGTTTGCTTCTTTTTTTGTGTCTTCTTTCCTTTTGATCTGTATGTTGCTTCCCCCTGCTGCCATGGCAACCTTTCATTGAACAAACCCGCATTAACAGAGGACTGTAACCTGGCTATGCTTTCAGCACAACCACCGGACATCACAACCCAGACGATGCACTCCTCGCTGCGATCCAACCACGTCGCCCTCTCGAGTCACAACGAGAAGATCCCCATGTCCGGGACACCAACGCATCCGCCCCATCCTGACCTGACTGGCGGGAAGATCCCGCATCAGCTCACCGTTCAGTTCTCGCCCAAAAAAGGAGGGACCATCACGCAGCTCGGGTGCTTGGGGTCATCGGATATCTCACAGTACTCGTTAAATAATGGATCCCTGCATTCGCACCCGCACTCGCGGTCGCTGTCGCCAACAAAAAGCCACACCTATGTTCCTCTGGTAGGACCCGGACAGGAGAAGCACATCTACGCCACGCTGAATCCTCCAGAACCACCTCCACAGGATCCGAGGTACTGTCAGACCCGTTGCTACGGCGACTTGGAGGACAATGATGGGTACATTATGGAGGAGGCAGATGAAAACTACATGCTGCAGGGACATTCCTCGGAGGAAAGTCTTGAGCCTCAGTCTATGTGTGATTCCGATCCAGGCAGGACATTATCGGGCAGCGCTCTTGGGCTTCCAATGCACTCAGATTACAGCATAGCAACGGGGCATGTGGGATCAAGAGGGGGCAGATTAGTGCTACCAGATTCAGGTTTGTCCTCTAGCTACCTTAACCCTTATTTAAAAATCTTTCAGATGTTTCTTGATATTTGTAGGGACCACAAATGATCTGTAGTTTCTTTGAAGGCTTGGAAAACAGCCAGTGATCTTGTCCAGAAACACTTCAAGATGACTAGATAACCTGGTGAACCTGTAGTCTCACTTGTATTCTCAAATGTGATAAGCAAATTGGGACCAAGGATTGTGAAAATGGTTATTTCTGGGATCCATGGTAACTAGAAGGGTACTCAAAATGTACATTTAGATTTTTTGAAAAATGTTTGCATTCCTTAGAAATTCCTTTAAAGGGATCCGGTAACTTTGTCTCAGATTCTGAAACAAAATTATGGATTTAGCTCATGATGCAATGATAATTATAAACCTTTAGGTCAGTCAGGAACCCCATGACTTTTACAAGCCGATCGCCTGACTGATTATCAAGATATTTATGATTAGAATTACAAATTTTGAAAACCGTTCGCCTGACGGTTTTCATTACACTACAGTCTATTGGGGAAAACGAGTATGGTAAAACCGGTCACTCAACGATTTTTACTTTTTTGAGGCACTTCTTGATCATTTTGAAGCGCAATTTTTTTAGGGCTTCAATATTACACCATATCACAAACACTGATAGCACGTAGGGCCGTGTATCTCAGATTTAACATTGTTAAACGATCCCTTTAAGTGGTATCCTCTTTATAAAAACAAATCTAAATATAGAAATCTACTTTGTGACACTTGTGAATTTATCTGAGATGTGAATTTTAGGAAATTCATAATAAATTAATTCCCAAATCAGGATCTACTTTTTGATGAATTCTGACTTTTACCAACTTTTATCTATGCTGTTCTTCCTAAAGGCCCTGCAATTATTATTATTACTCCAACATTTGCCGGGTTCATATTTTACACCCGGGTGAAGAAAGGCAAATGTGGATTAAAGCCAGGCTGGGATTCAAACTCTCAACCCTGGGATTGAGAGTCAAGTGAATGAACCACGACACCTCAACTGTTGGGGATGGTTCCCGTTTTTTCTGTCTTTTGGAAAGGACATTCCTACAATATCAATGGGTTAAAGCCCCACTGTACTACTTGTAGCTACTTGCTCCCTCTATATAGAAAACAATGCCTAATTGGTAACCATTGGTCCCCCATTATCCTCTTTTTCTAATGTTAATAGAGACCTAAGTAGATGAGATAGCCACCTGTCAGTGACCACACTGGGTGGTCTAATCCCTCCTGGCTAAACTAGTACAGATGGGCTTTAAAAGTATTGTTATTTTTTTGTTTGTCTCTTGTAGGAGTTAGCTTGATGATACCAGAGGGGGCTATAGCACGTGGCCAGACGGTGGAAATATACCTAGCAGTCTCACATGAACTCATGGACAGACCGCACATAGAACACAACCAGACCTTACTTAGCCCCGTCATCTTGTGCGGCCCGCCCTCTGTAGTCCTTGCCAAGTCAGTCGTCCTGGTGTTACCGCACTGCGCACAGATGAGCAAGAACGACTGGAGGCATTCAGTCATTGCCAGCAGTACACATCCAACAGATGACAAATGTTGGGAGGTGAATAAAGAATCATCATATCTTTTGTGTGTTTTATTTGGGGGGGATGGCTGAACACTTAAAGGTTGATTTATTTTTTAAATGCGAAATTGTATTTTTTAATACACTTTCAGTTTGATTTAAATATTTTACACATTTTAGAATGAATTAGTGGAAAATTCCTTTGCAGGAAGGAGATATTCACAAAAGGCCCAAAAGAGTAAATCAGCAAAAAAAATACATGGGTTGAGGGCAGTTTGCCTCCCGCCCCCTCCCCCCCTCCCCCCCCCCCCCCCCCCAAAAAAAAATAAAAAATAAAATAAGCCACCATAAAAAAAAATTGGGAAGGGGGATGTTAACAGTACTGGTAGTCATCACAAATGAAGTTTTTCTAATTTTCCCATCAAATTATAATACATGTATTCTTAATTTGTATTGCCTCATTCAGAAACAGACAACTGTCGGAGAGGAAACCATCAACTTACAAGTCTTCTGCCAGGTCGATAGTCATCTATCCTGCATCGTAACCGACCAGCTCGGGTGGTATGCCCTCAGTGGCGAGTCAAGGCCAGAGAGACAGTCGGCAAAAAGGTTAAAACTGTTAGCTTTCGGTCCAGCTCTTCGGTCGACACTAGATTACCATATCAAAGTGTACATCTCGGAAGACACTCCAGATGCTATAGAGGTAAGCAGATTGAGCAAAACTGTGCTTAAAGAGAAGGTTGACTTAATCTGTGAGCGTTAATATTGTATTATGCAAGTGTGGAAAAACGTCAGATTAAAAATGTTCCCTGAAAAGCATGGCTCTTCAAAAATCGGACAGATTTTTATGCCACATTTTTGTGTAGTCCCATATACATCTTTCTGTGTACAGTGCTTGTAACTTTACCAAGACAGGGCCAAATTTCTTATCATTTTGATGATTCCAGATCCTTGCAGTACACACAATGCAATTTACATATCAATATTCTGTTTGTAAACATATATATATATATATATATATATATATATATCATATGAATCAGTTTACAATGCAGTGTATATAGCAAAACAGAAGAAAAATTATATACAGCAGAAACACTCCATTTTCTTCTTGTAGTAACATGACACATAATGCATAAAGTAAATAATATAATGTACCATAATAAATCCGGAGATTTAGATATATAAAACCTAATATAACAAGTTTCTAAATAAATTATAACTCATGCTATAAATTATAGGTAAATGAGGTACATGGAATGCCTAAATTAAATGGCATAATAGTACTTGTACATATGCGACCTAATGTATTATTAAATACATGTATGTATTTTTAAATATACATCTTACATCTTTGTTATCCTTGCAGCATATCCTCAACGTTGAGAGGAGACTCGGAGGGCAGCCCCTCCAGGGTGGCTGCCAATTTGACTACCACGACAACGGCAATAATCTCAGATTGGAGATCCAAAACATAGTTCCTGGCTGGCAATGCAAGCTGGCCAAGAACTGTCAAGTAAGTTACCTTAATTACATAAACTAATCTCTTGTCCAGGAGAGGGTCACATTTTAGTTAATTGTTTACAAACAGCTATAGCTACATTTCTCTGAACATTTTGATATCAAATACTCATTCTGGCAAAATATGGAGTTACGTCTTTGTGTCACTGAACCCTTGATATATATCTCTGGATGCATCAAACTCAGTCAGCAAAATTATATAGTTCTCATATTTATTTTGTATGCAGTTATCTCAACTTTTAGAATCATGTTAACTTTCTTGTTGTTTTAATTGAATTCCACTAAGGTGTGTTTGATATCACAACCTTTGATTACCCTTTGAGAAAATTGGAGTTTAATTCAAGTAGTGAGGATCATGATTTGGTTTGGTTCAATTTTAGGCTTGGAGTAGGGTCAGATGTGGTATTGGGACCAGGATTAGTAAATTGACAGAGGAGCAATTATCACTGGAAAATGTATCTTAAACTTAATAATACTAAAGTATTTTCAAATTTTATGAATAAATTAAGAAGTAATCACTATTCTTAAAGTAGTATATCCTCAAAAAGTATGAGCGATTTTTAGTGAGAAATTCTTCCATGTTTCTTTTCTCCAAGGAGATTCCTTTCTACCATGTATGGAGCGGTACCTCCAACACGTTGCACTGTTCATTTGCCTTGGTCAAGACGGAGCCGGGTATCGGACCCATTGGCTGCAGGTTAGAGGTCACCCAAGGCACCTATACGACCAGTATGCAGGTCATGGAGAGGATCATTGATGGGGTAAGTCATTCAAGGGTTGGTCTTTCTTTGTAACTTGTGGCTCTTCCAGGTTTTCAAGTTGACCTATTTTGTAGAACTTTGAGAGATTTTTTATGAGTTAACCTCAATATTTGATAATGGCGACAGGCCGGAATGGAGAATGTGCATACATTGTGTGCAGTGAAGCCTGAATCTGACGACCAGGGTAATAATATATCTGTAAAGCGCATAGACACATCGTTGTATCGATGTATTGGTCGCTATATAAAAGCAGAATATTATTATTATTTGATGCAGAAGCCAGAACTTTTCAAGGAGACTTAATTGAGGAACCCTTTTGTGGCATTTCTTGGTTCATAGAAGACTCAAGGCGATACTTCCTACCTTAAACACTCATTGTATACCTTGTCATAAGAAGGACCCCTAATTTAGGTGCAGAAGTAAAAAACCTGACAAGCAAAAGATATGAAGCTAGGGGATTAGGGTCAGGATAGTTAGTACCGTATTTGCCGGCGTAAAGGCCGCAGTATTTTTGGAAGAGAAAATATCAAAAAGTTGGGGTGCGGCCTTTGCGGCGAAAGAGTAAAAAAAAAAAAAAAAACCTAAGTCATAACCAGCACGAATTCGCACATACGGGACTACGAATGGTACAATAACTATACCACTATGGTACAGGACATTTCCACACATCTTACCAACAATTTTATCTTGCATTGTTGACATGAAGACGAAAATAACTTCCTAAAACAACATTTGCCGATATATCTTGATCAAAGTTCGTGCCAATGCATTGCAAAAGTAAAGGAAGGGATTGTTTAACGGAGCTGCCGCGAAGCATCCATCCGAAGTCGCAATTTTGTTTTCCATTTCACGCAATTTCGCATTACACCGTACATTGTGGTAGGGGTATATCGGACACCAAATCTGCCTGCGATCACTTTTTTAGCTAAACTTCCGGTAAATTATAAGAATATTGATGAATTTAGTGGCAGTTTGTAAAAAAAAAATGGTGTTTTACAAGAAAATTACAATTATTTTGTTTTGTCTGTTTGTATGTTTGTTTTTTTGTTTTTTTGTTTTTCCCCCCTCTTTGAAATGTCAAAGTTGGGGTGCGGCCTATGCGGCGCTGCGGCCTTATCGCCGGCAAATAAGGTAAGCATATATTTTGCTGTGTACTATTAGTATGCCAGATTAGGTTTTGCTGGAGAAGGGGGCACATCCCCCCCCCCTTCCCTCCATCCACAACATAGACATCCTACTTTTCAAAATTTCTTTTCAAAATACTTTCCAATGTTTAAGAGAGGAAGTATGTTGAGCATATCTCACTCTTCTTATGTTACTCTATCCACCTTTCCTTCTTACAACGCATAGAGACATATTGTGATATGCACTATATAAGTACAGTATATTATCATTATTATTATTTCATTTCTTTATATATTATACCCGTCTCTCTTAGGTGGTTGTGGAGCAGGAGTTGAGACTGAACGGATACAGCCCGAACCACATGGTACCGCCTCAGAACGCCTTCCACCTGTCAAAACCAGTCAGAACCGCCTTGTGCCAATGCCTTGATATCCCTAATTCATTTATTTATATATTATACCCGTCTCTTAGGTGGTTGTGGAGCAGGAGTTGAGACTAAACGGCTACAGCCCGAACCACATGGTACCGCCTCAGAACGCCTTCCACCTGTCAAAACCAGTCAGAACCGCCGTGTGCCAATGCCTTGATATCCCTAATTCATTTCTTTATATATTATACCCATCTCTCTCTCTATCTCTAGGTGGTTGTGGAGCAGGAGTTGAGACTGAACGGCTACAGCCCGAACCACATGGTACCGCCTCAGAACGCCTTCCACCTGTCAAAACCAGTCAGAACCGCCGTGTGCCAATGCCTTGATATCCCTAATTCATTTCTTTATATATTATACCCATCTCTCTCTCTATCTCTAGGTGGTTGTGGAGCAGGAGTTGAGACTGAACGGCTACAGCCCGAACCACATGGTACCGCCTCAGAACGCCTTCCACCTGTCTAAACCAGTCAGAACCGCCTCGTGCCAATGCCTTGATATCCCTAATTCATTTCTTTATATATTATACCCATCTCTCTCTCTATCTCTAGGTGGTTGTGGAGCAGGAGTTGAGACTGAACGGCTACAGCCGAACCACATGGTACCGCCTCAGAACGCCTTCCACCTGTCTAAACCAGTCAGAACCGCCTTGTGCCAATGCCTTGATATCCCTAATTCATTTCTTTATATATTATACCCATCTCTCTCTCTATCTCTAGGTGGTTGTGGAGCAGGAGTTGAGACTGAACGGCTACAGCCCGAACCACATGGTACCGCCTCAGAACGCCTTCCACCTGTCAAAACCAGTCAGAACCACCGTGTGCCAATGCCTTGATATCCCTAATTCATTTCTTTATATATTATACCCATCTCTAGGTGGTTGTGGAGCAGGAGTTGAGACTGAACGGCTACAGCCCTAACCACATGGTACCGCCTCAGAACGCCTTCCACCTGTCTAAACCAGTCAGAACCGCCTTGTGCCAATGCCTTGATATCCCCCAGCCCAAGGGTAATGACTGGAAACTACTCGCAACCAAACTAGGTGTCGATGGGTACGTTGAAGAGATACAACACAATGCTAATTTTTCTTGAAATTCAAGCAGCTTTATCCAACTTTGGAAAGTGTAGTACTACATTTGCCACACTCGACCCAGGTGATGGGTACCTGGCAGGAATTAATTCCTTGAAATGCTAGAGCGCCGTAATTAATGGTAGCTAGGCTAAAGCCGGGGTATAATTTCCAAATTTGGAAGCGCATTGAGATGTTTAAATGTGATATGCACTATACAAGAACCGAATATTATTATTATTACATGTAGATGATAGTATCTGTGATATTAAGTTAGGATATTAGATGTATGAATGCATTATTATATGAAAATTGTTATCATTAATTTGATGGTAGTTTAGTTACAACCTATTGTGCAATTAAAGGTTATAGTTAGATGGCAAGGGGGTCATCTTTATCATGTTATGCCTTTTTGCCACCAAAAGTGATGCCCTAGGCCTTATTCTTGAGATATTGACCTTTACAACACTTTTTAAGAAACAATCTTCAGTCCTTCATGAAAATAGGTTACTAGTTTTACCATTTTTTTAAAATGTAAGAATATGGGTGCTTGAAATCAATGAACTTTAAAACCCATCTGTACTAGCTTGGCTAGGAGGGATTAGACTGCCCAGGATGGTCACTGACACTCATCATCTCAGCTCTCATTTAACATAAGAAAAAGAGGATCATGGGTGACCAGTGGTCACCGATTAGGCATTGTTTGCTATATAGAGGGTGCCAGTAGCTATAAGTATTGCAGTGGGGCTTTAAAAGATATCATAAGTTTAATTTCCTTTTCCCCCTCTATCTTGCAGATATCTTAATTTCTTTGGCATCAAACCAAGTCCGACCGATCAAATCCTTGACATGTGGGAAGCGCGGGACAGCGAGGAGGGCGCTCTCATGAGGTTAGCAGGAGCATTCCAGGAGATGGGCCGGCACGACGCCGTCACGATAGTCCAGAAACAGATGGCTGCATGGATGTGACGACGGGTGACGTGCGATCAAAGCGAAAGCGATCAAAACTTTATCTGACACTCTCTGATTGGTGCTTCAATGGCAATAGTCGTCTTTTGTTTAAAGATGGATGCGTGGATGGATGGATGATGGATGGTTTTAGCAGCTAGGACTATTTGGTCCCCCCTGATGGGGCCGGGTTTTGAGTTCCTGGTCCTTGCAGGGACGTGGTCCTAAGTTGGACCCAGGGTTGCACTCGCAGCACAGCCTAATAGGAACAGAATTAGCAGAATTACCAGCATGCAACTATTTGGTCTCCTGATGGGGCTGGGTTTTGAGTTCCTGGTCCTTGCAGGGACTTGGTCCCAAGTTGGACCCTGGATTGCACTTGCAGCACATCTAGCCTAATAGGAACAGAATTAGCAGAATTATCAGCATGCAACGCTATTATGCACAGCTCTGTTTCAATCTGTTGCAGGATACTTTGAGACGGTAAAGAACTGTGATGAACATTGATTTTTAAAATCTTTTCACAGTCTTTGGCTTCTCTGAGTGGTTATGTCCTGCTTTATAGCTCAAGGTTTGAGGAAAGCGGTTGCTGTGCTTCACACCTTCATCCAGGATTATCAAAGGCATCATCTTGCAGGAATCAACTTAGGTCTACCCTAAGACTTTGCAAGCAGAAGGAAGGAACTGTTAGCCAAGCTCACTTGCTTATCATGTTGCTCACTGGATGCACAACGAAGCTTCATTACTGCCTGCTTACTTGTATAGATAGCTTAGGATTCAAACAAAAATCATCATATTTTACAGAAGATCACTGCAAACAATAATTCAGCAGTTCTTGGAAAAGGCACATGAAAGAATCAACCTTCCCGTCCTCATCAGAAAGGGAAAATAACGCATTGTTTCACGTTTCCCAATTCGTTGTCACTCTAGAAAAATATATATTGTGTTGTAGTTGGTACACAACCAGATTGGAATATTCTGAAGCTGATAGTCATGCTTGCTTTATGGTTGTAGGTAAATCAGTTCACAAATTATTGAAAATTTTAACGTACATACATGGATATGTAATTCAGAAATCCTAACACCTTTAAATTATCCTTTTGCATTTCAGTTCTCAAATGGACTGTTTATTAAAAATTAATTTACCATAAAGATGCAGTATATCTTATCATTGTGCCACAAAGTTTCATTCAATTATTTATTAGATAACATAAAGGGGCAATGACTATTGATGTATTGAATATTTTTTTGGTAAATAATTGTATTTTCTTCAGAAATAATGATACAGGATATTCAATAGCCTAGAATGGGAAGAGATTGACTAATGTGTGTGCATACAAAGACAAAATTAAAGTTATTGCAATTTAAATCCACTATATAAAAGTCTAGTATTTATAAAGGATATACTTTATTGTATTCTTGAAGGCCTAGCTGTGGATGATTCTTTTCTAGGCCCAACTAGGGAGCTAAATAAGGTGAGAAATCATGAAGGCAAATAAATTTTAAGAAAGCGAGAACTGTTATTGCTGCAAGATTGAGAGTTAAATATAATGTACAGAAAGTATGGATTTTCCTGGTATGAAAGTGTAAATATTCTGTGGAAAGAATATATTATACATGTAGGCCTACTGTAAGCAGGGTTCACATTGTAATGCCTTTTATCATGCTATTCTTGTAATTGAAATAACAGATTAAGAAGTTAAACACTAATTCAAAAGTCTAGTTTAAACGTTGCTTCACGATTTAAAGCTTTTAATGCCATTTAAGCAGATGTACATGTCTATTGTCTAGCATCTGTGCATGTTAAGCATTGGTGCTGCATAGTTTTTGCACTCATAGAGATGGAAATTAGATGTATTGCACAAGCGCAGAACGCTCGTTCACTTAATAAACAAATTGTGGGCAGCCATGGGTCTTTTGGGGGCAATGCTGTATATATTTTGTTTGTAATGACGCTGTTCGCCCACTGATTTTTGTTTTAAACTTAAAGGCACAGTTTAGTTTGTTGTTTGTTGCATAATTTATGTTCGCACCAAGTGTATGCTTTATGTTCCAAGATGTGTTAATATATTGAAAAGAAATTATGTTTGCGAAGATGGTAATTGTACATTCGCAAAGTAGAATCACAAATTGGAAACTTTTCCATTACTTTGGGAACCAAAAGAAGGAAAGAAAAACAATCACATATGGGGCTTAATTTAGCATTGATGTAAGAACTCACATTCTCATTATGAGTTGTTAGTGTTATTGGTGTTCTGAGATGTTTTCCATGATATACGAACTCCGATATCTCTAAACACTGGCAAGAATTTAACTGGTTTTGGTATCTTCTGATATGGTACTCTAATTTGGGATTTATTTGGTGAGTTCTTATCTCTATCTAACGTTCCTTTGCTCTCTTTTTTCCACTGCACGTAAAAGCCGCACTTCATAGCATGGCACTAAAGCTATTTAATGCAATTTTGATATCACTAGTCAGTAACCTGAACGCAAAATGACATAAGGGCCATTGATAATACTTGGCCTTTGTGTCCATTCTGCACTGATGTTTTAAAATTGGGATCAATGTCAAAAGGCTGTTAGTATTACTGAATACATTTGATGTATACTTCAATACTATCTCTCCTCAGTGGAGAACTTTGTGGTTTGGGTTATTACAGAATTGTCATTATTGAGTTTGGTTATTTCATTTTTTATTTCACTGGCTTAAGAAGTCATCTATGCAATGATTTTGGGGGAATATCGGCCGAAAATGAGCAACGTTGTGATTCAATTGTTAGCATGATTCCATAATTGTGTAAATTGTGAAATATGTAAATGAAAATGTACAAATATAATATACCTATCACTTTGGTGAACAACTATTGTAAAAAAAAAATAATAATACGAAATCTTGTGAAGAGAGCAGAAGGATTTTTCGATTACAAAAAAGCTATAACGAGTCTTCTATTTGTGATTATGGAAGGTGGTGGGATTATGATGATGATTATGAATGAATAGTGTACCCACTTTAATCTACGTGAAATATGATTATAGATTTATATCAGTGTGGGGGTTTCTTTAAGTTGGTAATTTGTGTGTACGCCCGCCCCCTATGCGGATCCTATTTATGAATGGTGATGATATTTTTTATAAAACGATAGATATTGGGACATGGGAAAACTGTGTATGTTTCAAGTCTATTTCTGTGCATATATGTATTTCCTCCATATATACCTGTCTTTATATATATGATAAGTCTGTTTTTTGCAAAGGACACTATTAATATATGCTTTTAAAGTTTATAATGAATCCTACTGTATATACTATACAGGGTGATTGGTATTACAAGTAATTATTCTCTGTTAATGACAGAAGGCTTAATGTTGCCTAAGAAGCCAATCTCCTACTTTCCAATACAGGCTTAGAGGTGTCTAAAGGAAACCAATTTAAGATAGTATCAACCTTAATTTCTCAGTGATTTTAGCAATTGGAAATTTGTCTTTGAACATTCTTTCAAAATATTGAAAGGTTCTATGCTCAGTAACATACCAACATGCTCAAGTTCAGTATGAAAAAAGTTATTGAACTATTCTGCTACTGTCAAAGTCTTAAAACCTGGTTTTGTTTTCCCTCTTGCAATCACTTTTTAAGAAAGACTATGTTCTGTAAGCATGTATGGTATTGATAAAGAAGTTTTTGCTTTGTAGATTTTTATGCCTCCGCTACAAAGTAGCCAGAGGCATTATTTGAGTTGTTTACAAACTAATTTGATGTACATTTCAAATGGTCTTGGGTTTTACCTATAAATATCTAATTGGGAAAAGGATTTATAAGTTGAGTGTGTATTGTATAGGTGTGTGTACACCCATTCCTATTTATCTTGTTGCCCGGCAAAAGGACGCTCAGATGGGCTACGCATGTGTAGCATTTAGGGGCAGATGGTGGTAAGTCCGCCATGGGTTAAAGCCTACACAAATGTATTTAGTAGGCATAACAATCTTGAATTGAGAGTCAGATGGTGTCAAATCTTTTTTTAGTTTAACGCCTTTTTGATATTCAACCATTTTTTTTTTAAATGCCATGTTGATAAACCTCAGTATCAATCTCCAAAGAATCATAACTACAATATTTCATATTCAGTACTTACTTCCTTATACCAGGTACTTTTCTTTATAATTATGTCAGTTGGTCTTCTACTTGATCGGTAAATTATGCACTAGTTATGTGACCACTTACTTGTCTTCAATTTTTATGTTTTTACTACAACTTTTTACTATGCATGATTCCAAGCATGATAAATTTGATCATTTCAAACTACAACAGTCTTCAGTATAGTACACTTGCATGACCATTGTCAATGAAGATATACTTTTCAAAAATGGTACTTTTTTCTTTTTTTGCTGCATAAGTACACGACTCCCTTCCACTAAAAGGATTATCATTATTAGTAAGTAGAAATGTATCACAATTATGGAAGAGAAAGAGACATTCAAATCAACCTTCGATCTGAACTACATTGTACAGTCAAACCTGCTTTAGTGACCACCTGTCTTCAAAGGCCACATTATTTGTTCCCCTTGGAAATGGTTTCTCATTGAAACATGTACTAAAGGAACCTGTCTACAAAGACCACTTTTTGTGTTTCCCTTGGGCGGTCGCTATAGACGGGTTTTACTGTATAACATTTCACCCAGCAAATCACATGTTGAAAGCTAGATGGGCATGCCATTGCCACCTATTACTGTGAATGTTTAGTGAATGCCCTTCTTAACAGTCTCAAGAGACTACACAAGTTGACACCGGATCAAAGCTTCTTACATTATACAATAGTCCTTCTTTATTTTCAGTTGATGATAACATATCGTCCCTATTTTCACGAAGTGACGGTAGTGAATGAAAATCGCATACACTTTGCATGCAAATTTTCCTCACTACCGTCACTTTGTGAAAACAGGAACGATATGATGTTATGCAAGGATTGACCTGTGTTATTGAGTATATTTGCCATTTTTTTTATAAGTTTTGTGTTCACATTTTGTTTTGTTTTCGGTTTGGTTGGATTTTATCTGGCTTTTTGTTGTTGGTCATTTCACGAGATACAGGGAATTGCAACAGGCAAGTGGTTGGGATAGGTTAAGCAAGATGATTTGCTGTTAGGAGCCAGAAGGGCAGTAACTCATATACTTTAACAGTGTTAGTGCTCTTTTGGCTCTGAACAGTTACTGCGTCTATTCATAAGATTATTGATGGTGATAAATAAAGATTGCAAGATTAAAGATAATGTATATGCACAACATTTTGATCTAATCAAGTTGGCTCTGTTTGTGTTTCTTGCCCCACTTCTAAATTGCATGCCACCTCTCTATCTCTCTCTATCTCTATCTCCCTCCCTCCCTCCCTGTATCTCTCTCTCTCTTTTTCTTTCTCTTGTTTTGAAAAAGAAAAGTTTAAGGCTAGGACATTTGATCGTTTATTTGTATTACAAAATATGAAACATGCATTCACTTTGATAGTCCAGTATAATTAAAGAACATTGGAATGCTGTAAAACAAATTTCTCCCAAATAATAGGACAATTCTCAAATTCCTTCTCCAAAAAAAGAAAGAAGTAAAATGACATGGCACATGAAGTTTTCTCTTCAGTTTAATATTTAGTAGAGTATGTGGAAGTTTGACATCAATCTTTTGAATCATTGGATACAAGGTTACAATTTTTGTTTAAAGAGAAATCCTTGCAATTTGTGATAGACTGCCATGACTAATGATGATATACTTCTATCTTTATTATTTAATTCAGCAGCGAAAAACATAAGAATTGTTGTAAAAATTAGATAAACAACCATTGGAATGCTAAGGAAAGCAAAATGAAGTGAACTGAATACAATCAACTTGGCATAGACCCCCCCCTCCCCCCGGACCATTTCAGTTGGTGCTATACAAAAAAGGGAAACAATTATCGAAATATAGATTATGTCAGAAATTTAAACAGGACTAATCTAGAGCGTGTACATTGTCATTCCCCATTTCTATGTTTTGTGTTTTGTTTGGTTTGATTTGGTTTTGTTTTTACTCTTTGATTTTTTTTTTGTCAACTGAGGTAACACTGACAAAAAGTTTGTTGTCTGGAGGAAGACTGATCTGAACGAATAATTATTGGATTGATGAAAATATTTGGAGGAGATTGAAGTTAAAATAACATGTCTGTTATTGTATAGAGAGGAGTTCGATGTTTGTATGCATTATTAATAAAAATATGTTTCACTTGTAATAATAAATCATCATGGATTAATGTGTTTGTTTGTTTATAAGTTGAGTGAATGTGAAGAGCGTTCTGAGAATACAGTGTAATAAGGTCGAAATACATTCTGTGTGGGAGAGGGGAATCGATTAGTAAAAGCAATAAAAGAATGTTGCTTTGTGAATGATGGGGGAAATGGATGAATGTGATGGAGAGAGGATAGAAAGGGGCGGGAGAAAGAGAGAAAGGAAGTTTCACCACTTACCTTACACCGTTCATCTCTCTTGGTGTTTTTTTCTTCTTATAATCAGGCGTCTTTACCTCCATCAGAATCACCACGACCCTTAAAGTACTAGTCACCCGAAGAAAATTCACGACAACTGATAATGATGGCCAAACTATTTATGGATGGAAAGATTTCTCTTGAAAAAACATGAATAATTTGCTGAAAAATCATACAGATGTCATGGCAACTTCAAATGCAATTTTTGTTGCTAGCTGTGTCAAGCACGCGACGTCACGTATCTTATCGCTCTTTACGGAGGACCGCTGAATGCAGAAAATCTGGATCTCAAAATTAACATTTTTGAGAGATGATTACTATATTTTGAAGAGGGAAGTTGTTATATTTGATCGGTAAGACTTCCCCTTCGCAATGATATGAATTTTAGCATTAATTCAAAAGACTTATGATTGTTCAGGTGACTACTTTAGCAAACGGCTTATATCATCAACCCAACTGTTACTTTTCATATCATCGCCATCATCACCAAGCCCTTACCCTCAAAATAAAATTATTCCTCAACAAATCTCTAACTATTACCCATATCATCATTGTGACTTTTACCCCCACCCCTTTGCTTTACCATCACCCCATATCATCATCCCTTAATGTTAATAATAATAATAATAATAATAATAATGGGTTCTTGTATAGCGCTCATGTCAGTCAGATTTGACCCTCCTGGCGCTCCCGATTATTACCCTTGGCTTTCTACCATCATCCTTAGTCGTCACTCTAACCTGTATTTCCCATCACATGACCACGCCCTTACCCTCACCACTCATCATCTCTCCTCTTATACCATCACCTATTTCATCATGATTACTAGCACTACTACCCCCTTTACCATCAAAACCACCCATGACCCATGCCATCAATCCGCATCATCATCCTTCCTCTTCTTTTTTCTTTCTTTTTACCATCACGATTTATCTCCACCAGGATGAGGTTCAACATCCTTTATCATCATCATCACTCATACTGTAATTTTCCATCTCATGACCACGCCCTTATCCTCACCACTCACCATCTCTCCTCTCGGTCTCGTCCATTTCATCACCATGACTCTCACCACCACCCTTTTCCTTTACCACCAACCACATCATCATTCGACAATGGTAATCATTTCTAATGTCACCCTTAATCATCACCCATTCGTTATTTTCCATCTCATGACCACGCCCTTACCGTCAACATTCTTCACCTCTTCTCTCGCCCATCTCATCGCTTTCACCGTCACCTCCACTGTCTCCATTCCAGCTCCCTCGCCACCATGCGTCATACCAACAACATCAATACCACCACCACCAATACCACCAACACCACCACCAGTCCACAAAGCTCGACCACGCCCTCGAACCCCTATGGGTCTATACCCTCCCTTGTTCCTCCGTCCCGACATGGTCATGATGATACTCATTTTCATTCTTCCGTCGACGGGCCTAACCTTGGATCAATAGCGGTGAAGCGTTTACCCTCGCGCGAAACAAAAAACATGGGAAAATTTTCATCGATTCTTCACAATGACTCTCAAGCGCCTCCACAAAGCCAACGTTGTTGCAGGTCTTTTAATCTCCAACCTTCTCTCTTTCAAACCAATCATATTGATTTTTGTATTGTATCGTGCCGAATGGAGTTCGTAATGTTATTGACATGCTGCTGAAGAAAAGAGCCAGGCAACGCGGTACACACGTATCGGTAGTGCTCTGTTATTTTATTGATATTTTCACCTGGATCTTAATTTAGACCGTTGTATTATAAGTCCAACTTAGACTACTTGAGTTCTACTAATAACCAATTCTTCAGCGGTTTAGCCCCGATTGGGTTGAACTGAGATAGGGGGATATGTTTCATCTTCAAACAGATCGGAACATACAAGTTAATTGGACCTTGCATGTGAGCTGAAGTCATCGGCTTGGATCAGAGACCTCTTCTGGCGTCTCTGCTTGGATGAAGACTCACTCAGAATACCTAAAGCTGTGGCACTCTGACGACACCCCTAGCTGTCCCCAACACAAGCAGACAGTGGATTATTACGAACGTGAATCTTCTGAAATCTTCTGAAATCTTCTGAAATTGAGGTATTCCGTATGTCGTCAACTTGTATGGCAGCGTGCTCCTAAGGTTCTCAACAGTTGGGGCTAAGACAGACTGCCGGTCGAGAGTGTTCGAGAACATGAACTGATAACCTCCAAGATCATCAATTTACTAAGAGTTATATGCCATGTTACCAACTGAGAACCTTCAACAGAACTAACTTTTCACTTGAGGTTTTAGTGTCACATCAACTCTCCTCAGTCGCAATTTTGTATCCTACGAATTTAATATAATTTGGACAGATTACATCCTTCGAAATTTCTCATCATAGAAAAATAAAGCTTCAAAATTGTAATTATGGATTAGATCAAGTCTATGGCTTTGTCGTCATTGATGCAGTGACAGCCAGTGAGGAAATTTGAACAGTTACACCACCATTAAGGATGTTTCCGACTCCCCTCAGAATGACTTTGGACGTGTTACTTCGTTGAATCGCTTTCAGTGATGAGGTTAGAAATAAAGTGCGGGGGAAAAAATCGCTGAGGGAGCAACCACATCAGTAAAATAACTTCATCGACCTTTTAAAGGAACACAGTGAACTGTTCATCCAAAGAAAATGGAAGATACTTGACCTAAATATTCTGCTCCTGGCAGAATGTTTTCCGAGCTGCTTTCACCAGGTGCAATATTCATCTTCACATATTATATCATAGTAAGTATATGGGATCCTTGTTGTTATGGTAGAGCCTAGTGTATTTTGAAGTTCATTTCATTGTATTTCCACGATAATAGCAAATACATTTACACAGACATTCACTTTACAAATTGTTATGATATAAATTAGTATTATTATACATGTAATAGAAGAAAAAATAAGAATGCTGTGGATATAAATAAAGTTTAAAGTATATAAATGATATTTATCATTTAAGTGGGAAGTAAATAAATACTGTTGTGGAGGAAACCTTCTAAAACAAAGCTTATAATTTAGATTCCCTATAATAAGTATAACAGCATCATTAAATACTGTCTTGTGAAAGGGATTTTCATGACGTTTGAAATACTGTGAAAAGAATGAGATATTCATCGCTAATAGGAACCAAAATCAACACCATTTACCAAACAATTAAAAATAAAAATCTATCTCGTTCTATCTCAAAAAGTAATTCAAGCATTTGTTATCTCTCATTTCCATCAGCAAATATCTTTTTATAAATATAGTTGCTCCATGGATATCCATTTTGATTAATTGTATATCTACATGTATGTGTGTAGCTCATTCACAGTTGATAATTATACATCGAGATATAGGCTACATTCGTTTTCTTTTGTTGTTCAAAAATATAAACAAATAAAGTAGATATGTTCTTGCGGCCCTTATATGATAAAGATTAAATGTAGTTCCAGTTTGGGTAGACTCATTCTTTACTACGAATATACTTTTCAATGGACCTTTGTCGTAATGTAACCAAATCTAATGCATAATTCTTTGTGAGGTGCCTTAATGCATATATTCATTCATCTGTCATTAATAATTTTATTTCAATAGTCAAAATTCAAAATGCACATAATAAGTGTTGTTGGGTATAGGGCAAGCCATAATATTTGTCCTACCTGGCAACAACTAATGTATGCAATTCGCATTCTGATTATTGAATTACAATTAATGGTAACTGATGAATGCAATGATTCACATCGAGGCACTTCACAAAGACGTATGCATTATATTTAGTCTATATTGGTCTACGAAAACGGTCTAATGGCAATGCCGGCAAAAACATCCTTTGATTTGAATAGACGTCTAAGGCATATTGTTATCGGTGTGATAATAATTCATATTTGTATGTAAACTGCTCACGGTTCATGCTCGGAGTGGTATCACGTTGTTCGTACAACAATAGCAATGCCTCCCGCCTTGTCTATATTTGCATCAGCTCATAGCAACGTGCAGGTTCATCAAACCATTCGCATAATAATAATCACATTCAATTCAAGTCATTTCAGTTTAAATCAAATTGAAATGAATTAAAGGTCGGGTGACATCCAAATATAAGTTGATTCCTGTTGATGTGCAGGGCTGCACACAATAATTTTCTCAGATCTGCTAATTTCCACCCTAAAAAATGCTCCAGATCTTGTGACAATTCAGTTTGAGACATTTCAGCTCAATTCAATTGAGGAGTTATTATTATAAACATTCAACTACAAATGATAGCTATACAAAGCTATCAAAATGAAATCTCTCGTTGCCCTGATTCGAAAAACATTGTTAGACATCGAGTGAAACAAACAGACTAGCTGCACAAATTTATAGTATTGTATTTATGCTGCATTGTACATGAGAATATTAGCGTCCAGTAATAAACACACGTGCATCCCCCCCCCCCCCCCCCCCATATAGAATGAAGAAATCATGTTATCCAGGCCACTCTAACCAAAACGGGCTTTAAAAAAATGGAGGAAAAAAAAGACATGTGGAATAATTTTTGACGGAGATTCCGAACATGACAATGATTTTTCTTAGAAATAATCAATAATTCTGGAATTTATAGCTTTAAAAATGACGACTCAGAACGCTCAGAAAAAAAGCCAAGTTTCGGAGCTGTATTGCGCAACTGTTTATGACGTCACTGCAGGAGCCTTTCCGGTGAAAAGGAGGGTGATTTAGGCATTAAATATCTTTAAAAAGGCAAACTATGTTATTAATTGGAAGAAGAAAAAAAACTTTTATCCGAAAAATAATATGCACTTGATAAATCCCAGTACGCTTTATTTATGAATTACAATGAGATTGTAAGATCCTTAGTTGTAGGACAAATCGGACATGCCCGCAATGACGTCAAATGCGTCATCAAGGCCACGTGACCGCATTACCTTTTTTCGAGGTGTATTCATGTTTTAAAGGCTATGTTAGTTGAGTTACAGTGACCCTTTAAATGATATTTCAGCAGGGTAGCCCATTCAACAAATAATGTTGTCTTCCATTGGGCCCTGAAAATATATCACAACTATATACAGTTAAAATTGATAAATACAGCAAACTAATATTACACATTATAAACGAATTTAATGAAAATGTACAAGATTTGAAGAGTAATAAATAATCAATATCAATAATTAAGACGAAAAGGATGAGCAGGAAAAAAACATGTAGATATATAAATATATATATCTACTTGCTGAGAGACGAAAGAAAGAAATATAGAACGAAAGAACAAAAAATGAATACAACGGGAGTTCTTTTTTTCTAAACTGAAGAGGCAACCTTGTTTGAATAATACTGAAAATAAAATAGATACAGACTTGTACATAGGCCTAATCGTTAGATTTAAATGATGAGGAAAAGGGAAATATTATTAAAGCGAACTTGACATCTTGATGCAGAGGTTTTGGCCTGTGAACATTAAATAATGTAGAATTTAGATATGATTATGGAAATAATAGATGAAAGAAGAATCAAATAAAATAATGTATTCTCGAGAAAACACTGGTCGCGCTCTTCATTAACATGTCCATTATTGTTTTGTTCTCATTTTGTACTTAATCTTGCCAATACCACATAATATGTGTTCCTATCTAATTCATATTCCTTGCATAACCCTTACAGAGTAAACCAAAGATCCGCCATGTCTGCTTCCGGCGATTCCCAAGCATACTACAAGAAACGCCTCGACAAGTTCAAATCCCGGTCGACCCGGATCTTCAACCGCGCCCAGAACCTGAACCGAACCTTGGACCGGCAGCTGGACTCGGCGGTCAAGAGCCTGGCGACCAGTCGTGACGTCAGCATCCGTCGCGACCAGGAGAAGATATGGATGGTGACGGGGGCGGGGCTTCACGCGCCAAAGTACTCCAACGCCAAGGATGAGGTGCCTTCGTATCTTGGGAAACAAGCGCATGCGACTCTGCCGACCCCTCAGGAGCTTAGCTCGCTCTTGCCGAACAAGAAGGCGAAGGAGAGGACACAATCAGCGGGCAATTACCAGCAGCTCTCCAGGAGAAGGTTGTCTTCCATGCAGTCGGTGGATCTGAATATCATTCATTACCGCAGAGCCCTGGAGAGTATGCGAGAGAAAGAAATATTGCCACTTTATAGCGAGATTATTCACGAGAAGGAAGGTGAAGAGGAAGTTGATGGTGTAGGCGGAGGTGGTGAACAATGGGCCACGACTATCCCTACTAATATAAGACCTAACACGGCCATACCTGCGTCATCGAGCAGTAGAACTAGTCAGCCAGAGCGACCAAAGACATCAATACCTGACGCAGCCAGGCGCAAGAAACGTGAGTCCACTCCGAACGCAACGGCCTTGATGATCGCACAAGCGCAGGATCCGAACAACAAGGTCCTCAGGACAAACTTCCTAGATATGTACAAGACGCAGATGGTGAAGCAACAGAGAAAGATGTCCGCAATGAAGGAGAAGCGCGCACCAAAGGCGACATCGACTACAGGTGACGCTACCGAACAGAGACCGCGCACCGCTGGCCCGCCGATCACCGAGGAAAACGAAGACGACGAACGAAGCCAAAGTGCTGGGTTCATGGCGGATACGTCTACTTCCAGTAAGCGTCGAGGTCTCCGTCAGAGGCTCAGGCGGACCAGCATGGCGGCGGTTGCCGGTATGAACAGCCTTCATGGCGAGGTCAAGAGCCTCCAGAGCTTCCGGAAGTTCAAGAGGGAGAGCCTGAATGTCCTGGAGAATGATATCCCCAACATTGAGAATCTTGAAGAAGGGGAGTTGTTCGATGAGATGAGGAAGTGTCGGTACATCCGGTGGGGGGATGATGAGGAGAAGGTCGAGAAGTTGAACGAAGACCAACCACTCATCAACCACATGAAGAAGTTATCTATTGATACCACCAAGAAACCTAAACGATTCCTCAAGAAACTTAATGAACATCATGAGCCAGGAACTCGATGATTGATCCTCTCATTTCAACCCATGGGAGCATTGGAAACTACTTTTTAAAAATCTACTTAAAGGGATAGTTGAGTTCTGCTTTCAGACCGCAAATGCCTTCAAAGTGCATGGTTATTCCTTTTATTCTTATTTGTGACATTTCTAGTGCCCTTTTCAGACCTAAAATTGCTATGAAGGTAATTTTAGACCCTAAAATGAGTGAAATTTAGCCAATACGATCATACCAATTCAGCTCCATTGTAAAAAAAAATACGGTGACCGTTAATTAATTAAAAATAACAATACATGGGCCGGCTGGTTGTGCGTAATATAATCAACACGAAAAAGCCAACAAAAAAGCCAACATCGGCATTGGCTGAAATACGACTTAAAAGGCGCTATTTCGTTTTTCCAACGGCTTTTTCAAATTATCGAATATTTGTGGTGGTACACAAGAAATCGTTATATTTATTGATATTTCTGCCGTCTCTGAACCGATTTTGATCAAACAAAGATGATTTTGTCATCTAAATTGTATGTTCTTTCAAATTTGAAACTCAGTTTTTCATTATCTCACAAAAAAATATTTTGTGTAGCGCCCTCAGCAACAGAACTCAACTATCCCTTTAAGACAATTCCAATAGCCCCGCCAATCATCTTTTGCAACGTGCGAACATTACAATGACGTATTTCACATACAAACATGATTTCTATGAGATATTCGATTATCATTCAATTTTAATTCAATTTCGTTTTTATTGTCGAATGGAAATTTGATTTGCTCACATTTGACATACAACTTTACATGACATAATATAAATATATATCATAGCAAATAAAGATAACATGGCATAATTGGATATTTTATCATAACATAAAGGGGAAAAGGGATTATGTGACATGACCTCTGGGGGTGTTTCACAAAGATCCTAAGTTAAATTTATCTCTAAGTTGGACTTAACAATTATGGAAATTGGAAAGCCGTTAGCATCTTTGAAAATATATTGTAAAAGTTATTTTAAAAGGCATAACATTTTGATTCAAATCATTCATATTTTCTATTATCAAGGAGATTTTTTGTTCTTAATGTGGAATTTATGAAAAGTCTAAATTACTTAAATTTTTACTTTTGAATATATTTCATTTCAAGGCTACAAATGGCTCTCCATAATGTTTAAGTCCAACTTAAACACCCCCCCCCCCCCCAGGAGACTATAACATAACTTGATAATACTTAGCAAGTTACGAATAGAGAAGGAAAAATAGGAATTTAGGAAAGGTTGAATACGGCAGTTCATCGATCTGAGTCTTTTACCAGAGCGCATGAAAACATTATTTGGAAAAAGTGGGTGATTTTTATTGTGCATAATATGTTTGAAGTTCTTCAATAGCTGTGATTATTTTTAATATGCAGTTTTGCACACTTCCGCTTGATGGTTTTATGAAGAGATTGAAGATTAAATATTCCTCCTTTTCCTAGTTGCACGGGCTCATAGTTTATTCAATGATGATCGCTCTTTTTTCAAAAAGAATAATAAATAATAATATTCACTTTTTTAAAGACTTTATCTTTTGAATATTCATGTATCATGTTTATTATGTATATTAAATGTTTCATTGTATTGGTCGTGAATAAAGGTCACGTTAAAGTATTAAAATGTCGTGTCATGAAAATTGTTTGGTCTTTTATTCTCTAAACAAATATATTTGCAAGGGATTTTGTGGTTCGAAGAGAAATTCCGATTTGGTATACTCTTCATAATCCAACCGCATTCATGTATCTCGCTCTACCTTGGCCTATCTTTTGAATTCTATTTCACTTGGTTCAATTCCCAATCCCTTCGTGTTTTCGCTCTCTCTCTCTCTCTCTCTCTCTCTACCCCACCCCCTTTTTTTCCCACCCCCTCTCTTTCTCTCTCTCTCTCTCTCTCTACCCCACCTTAAAAAAAAAAATGTCCCCATCCCCTCTCATTCTCTCTCTCTCTACCCCCCCCCCCCTCTCTCTGTTAGAGGTATAGCGCCACCTCTTGGCAGAATTATAGGACGATTTGACAATCTCATCTTTATTGTCCTACCTAAGTGTAGCCTAAGGCCGAAAAAAAAAATGTATTGCCCTTTGTGACCGACCGAACAATCTTGAAATCTACGGTTGGTTTTTAAAAGAGTGTATTGTTTTTACCGTTTTTTAAAGAGAAAAACTTGAAAATATCTGCCCAAAGAGGGAGGGTAAAAGTGTAACCCCCTCGCTCTCTGTAAGAGGTATAGCGCCACCTCTTGGCAGAATTATACAACGATTTGAAAATCTTGAAATCTACGGTCTGCTTTTAAAAAAAGTGTTGTTTTTACCGTTTTTTAAAGAAAAACTGAAAAATATCTTCCCAAAGAGGGAGGTAGAAAAAAAGGTGTAAACCTCTCCCTCTCTCCCCCTCTCTCTCTCTCTCTCTCTCTCTCTCTCTCTCTCTCCTCCCCCATCCTAAATACCTAAACTCCCCCTAACTCTCTCTTCATCCTTTGTCAATCCTTCCACCTTCTTACCTTTTCTCTTCCTCTGTATGTCTCAGTCTCATCTCATTACCAGGTCCCTCGGAGAGGACCTAAAGCCGTTGGCCGTTTGGTTGCTTACTAGCAAGCATTTATGCTTTCTTAGCAGTCAGGTAAAATAACCACCACTGCCACCACCACTTTCCGTCTCTGTCTCTCCCTCTGCCCCCTCCCCCTTTCCCCATCTCTCTCTCTCTCACTCTCCATCCCTCCCTCTCTACCCCCCTCTCTCTCTCTCTCTCTCTCTTCCTCCACACCATCAATACCTCACTTCTCCCTAACTCTTTCTCTCCTCTTCCTTTGTCAATCCCCCATCTCTTCCTTTGTATGTCTCACCTCACTCACCTCACTCTCCCTGTCTCCCCTTCCCATCCCTCTGTCTCCCCCTCTCTGTTCTTATAATTATCCTTACTCTTTATATTCCAGTATGATTTCCCCTTTATCTAAATTAACTCCTTTGCAATATGTCTCACCTCACTATCCGTCTCTCTCTCTCTTCCCATCTGTCTCCCCCTCTCCTACATCTCTCTCTCTCTCTCTCTCTCTCTCTCTCTCAACTCCCCATTCTTATAATTATCCTTACTCTTTATATTCCAATATGATTTCCTATTCCTATTATTAATTTCCTATAACTCTTTTGCTATCTATAAGTTTTCCTCTCTCAAATAAACTATTTAGTACTTGAAATAAAACCATTATCAATAAAAGAATGTTTAATGTTTTGCTTCTTTTTTTTTTTTCTTTTTTTTTTCTTCTTCAAGTTCACATTGTGAACTAAATTTTTTTTTTATTAAAAGGTTGCATTTTACAAACCCCCTATATATCTCTCTCTCTCTCTCTCAACTCCCCATTCTTATAATTCTCTCTCTCTCTCTCTCTCAACTCCCCATTCTTATAATTATCCTTACTATTTTTATTCCAATATGATTTCCTATTCCTATTATTGATTTCCTATAACTCTTTTGCAATCTATAAGTTTTCCTCTCTCAAATAAACTATTTAGTACTTGAAATAAAACACATTATCAATAAAAGAACTAAACTAAAATGGTCAGTCCCTGAAATCAAAAGGCAATTAGTCAGACATTTTAAAGTGACAATATATTTATATTAAAACACTCCATGATATATCAATCCTATTTACAACCCTCGACCCTAAATGGTATACACAATAACAGTACATATAATATCAGTTAAAGGACAATTTTCTAACTGCATTATTTCCATACAGTGGAAATATGAGATAAAAAGTACAATTGAATACCAAGTAGATTAGGCCCTTGAAGAAATAATAATACAAAAATGTAATGGTTAGGTATATAATAATACAAATCATAATCAAGGGTTAGACTTAGAGTAGTACATCTCTATGATAATTACTAAACATAACAAGCATGATTTGGATCTTGACAGATTTATCTCCATAGATTTCATCTAAAAAATATATGTTACTGTATTTGGAAAGAACTAAGTAAACCGATACAGTGAAGTCATTATAAATCTAGAAATTATACAAATGATATATGTGAATGCATGTTGAGGCTGTGTGTAACCATCATACAAAGCCATTAGACTTCACAGTTACTACTTGATTATAATCAAGAACAAAAATAAATAAATATAAAATTATAAAATTGTCTAGTCATGCAGTCAAAGTGCTGTTGAAAGTGAGACACATCATTGAAATGTAAACCGATTCAACATGTTTGCCACATAGACTTTGAATGCTTCTCAGCTTTTGGTAAAGCTATAATATTTTGCAGATTACTCAGCAATTGAGACAGTTGTAAGTACATTTATTCTTCATCAATGCCCCTTGGTAATTCCATAGTTCTGAAGTTTTTTGGGATTCTATGAGGGAATTTATTTTTCATAACCCTCACAAGAACAAAGATTAACTGAAGTACTGAACTACAGCCTCACTGCTTTGCTGTTGGCGAGTCCCTATGAGAAAACATGGACATGTTAACATTTTCAGACTCGATTATCCAATGAACAATCTTTACAAATTTGGATGCATGCGATTTTAGAATACTATAATTGCAATCAAAGATAATTTAAGAGTAGTTCACTATTTTGGGTGAAATAAACAGATAGGTGGCACCAATGCATGACCGCTCTCTTCAACACAGCTGATAGTATAGGAAGGTTTAAAATGCACATATTTCTTGCTGGTTCAAGCATAATGACGTGAGCAAAAGTGGCATATTTTGAAAATGACATTTCCTCACAAAAATAGCCAAATAATCAAAATATATTATCCCAAAATTGATGATCTTGGTGTCGTTTTACTAAAATATATCAAAATGTCCCCTTTTTCATACATTGCATTCATATGGAATGGCCTACACTTGCAAATGAAGCTAGCTTGAATATTGAAATAGATAAATAAATAGCACAATGTTGATAAAATATGTGTTCCTAATGAAGAAAATATTTGGCACCATGAGAAAATAGTTCATAACATGCAAAAGACTTTTGTTAATCCCTTTGACAGTTTGACCACGTACATTTCGAGGGGTCAGTGACACAAAGGCCTAACTCCATTTTGGCCATTTTGAGAAAAGGTGGTTTATGTGTCACTAAGCACATTAAGTCTATGTTTCACTAGTGATTGACTTCAATGGGGTGTTGGGTAGAGTTAAGTCTATGTGTTTCCTGGAAAGAGACCCACATTTTTCTGAACATTCTGATATCAAATACTCATTTTGGCAAAATATGGAGTTACGTCTTTGTGTCACTGAACCCTTGATTTACAGTAGATCCAAAAGGACAATGGTTTGTAAGCATACATTGAATACAAAATTCAGCTGTCTTCTGCTCGATTTTTATGGTGCACAAGAAGTGTACTAATTGCCTAGAAGCAAACTTAGCAAAATATCTTATTCATTGAAATGATTGAATACCTATCATTAAACATTACATGTTAACAAAGAATGAATAAATATAATTCAAAATGTAGAAATCTTATTTACAAAATCATTTCCAAGGGATGGTGTTGGTGTTAGGTGTTGGTTTTAGGTGTTGGTGCTTAGAGGCAAAGACTAGAAATCAAAATCGAGTTCTAAAACTGCTGCTCCACAACAAAGGCAGGGTATTTACCGACATCACTACCACTGCTGTAATGTAAAAGTATTTCTAATTGCGCCATCTTTCTGTAAAGACGTACACAGAGTGATTTCCTGTACCTGTACCCAAGCATCATCCCATATGCCTCATGCAGTTGGTTCATTGTGAAACATTGCTGTCGACAGATTTGGACATTGTGAGAAGCAGATGGCAGTATACGTAAATTTGAAGTAGTGTCAGTAGAATACCCTGCCTTTTTAAGGAGTAGATTGCGATATCATAACACAGTAGATCGACAGATACATGTAAACTTTTGAATGGTGTCAGCACTCATCACTATTCTCAAAAAAGAAAAAAATATTTGTTAATACACGTAAATTCATAAATTCTTACTCTCATAGTATAACATAGGCATTCCATTAATCTCTCCATGTCCAAGGATGCTGGTAAACCTCACAACGATGAATAATCGTTAGCGGAACATTAAGTTTGGATTTAACTTCTCTCAAGTTTGTTACGTGCAGCAGAAAACGATACAGTAGCCACTGTAGCTACATGTAGACGCTGGATCGGACGGCACAGCACGTCCACTGCAATATATGCAAAAATTCCTACAGCATCGACTTAGAATAGCCATGTAATTTGCCGACTGTTGTTTTTTAAATGTTGATTTAGAGTTGGATCATAAATATTAGTATGGATTAGCTAATTCCTTTTCTATGGAGAATCTAAAGACATATTTATCAAATCTATCTAATATGAAAATTAAATAGGATTTTCTAGGTACTCTTTATAATATCTTTACAATGATCAACATCTTGATCTGTAGTGTGTCCAATCCCTTCAGATAGTCATTTTCTCTGAGTATCTCAAATCATTACCTAGCAGGTGACATTTATTTCAAGCTTATGATATATCAAGGTCAACCAATACTTGATGAACAATAGCTGTCTTGGGCCTGGATGATAGATGCACCCTCAATGATGTCCTAAAGCCCCATCGCACTACTTGTAGCTACTTGCCCGCTCTATATAGAAAACAATGCCTTTGCAGTGACCATTGGTCTCCCATGGTCCCCTTTTTCTCATGTTTATTGAGAGCTGAGTTGATGAGATAACCACCTGTCAGTGACCACGCTGGGGGGTCTAATCCCTCCTGGCCAAACTAGTACAGACGGGCTTTAAAATATTAATGAATCCATCAAACGATGTCTTCTCTTTTTTCTGAAGAACCAGTCACCAAAGTCTAAATAGCTTGATGAAGCCTTCCAGGATCTCTACACAGCTTCGTGATTTGGCTGCATCATCCCTGAATCCCTCGATAAGTGTCTCCAGGTTCTAAATAGACTCTTTAACAGGGTCTTCAAAGCTTAAGAAACTTGCTGACCATGTCTTTACAGCCTGATAGATCATTCTCTTCATGGCTTGAATTGAAGCACCACTTGCCAAGGTCTTGACAGCTTGATGACCCCTTCCGCAATGTTTTCACTGCTTCCTGAACTCCTAAACATTGTCTTCACCGCCTCGTACCTCATTAACCATTCAACCCTTGGAGAAATCTTTGACGATGTCTTCACTGCTGGATGAATCCATCAGACAATATCTCTATTTCTTGAGGAACCTTTTATCAAGGTCCGAATGACTTGATGAAGCTTTCCAGGTCTACACAAAAATGCCTCCACAAGTTCACAACGTCATGAAAACAAAATCCTTGATAAGTCTTCAACGATGTCTTCAAGGTTTGACAAACTCCTTGACAATGTCCTCACTGCTTGATGAACCCTTCGACAATATCAGCAATGTAGTTCATCCTGCACTTCCGTAAGGCACCGATAAGGGCCTGCCTCGTGGCCTCCCTGCGCACCCTGTTCTTCCATGTCCACAAGGCCTGCCTTGATTGCTCTCTTAGGTTCCTGCCGTGGTTCTCGGTGATGCACTCGATGTCGACCTCACTCAGACCCAGACGTCTAGCTAGCTGTCGCCAGTCACGGCCGATGTTCTCAACAATGATGTCAAACTCTGTACTAAGATCTGCAAGAAGTGGATTGGAAAGGACAACAATATTGTTATTATTATTATTATTATTTAATCAGCAAACACAGAGTTAACAAATGAATTACATGGAAGAACAAATCATACAAAACAAAGGATGAAAATCATTTAAAACATTATCTCAATTCCGATGAGCATTTACAAGTTGCCAGGAATGGGGCAGGCAAACTAAATCACTGAAAACGTGAAGGTCCCCCATTCCGGGGTAGCAATAAGATAGTTTGGTAAAATAATTTGGTCAACTTTCTTTGGTTGTGTTTGTTGGCAAGCTCGAAAACTATAATAAAGGGTTTGTTAGATTGTTGGACGACCAACTAACATACTATGTTTTGGTGGGGTATTCTAAAGTCAAGCCCATCATTTTCTTGAAGTTTTGAAAAGGACCTTCCATTGTTTCAATCTGGTTTTCGATAAGATTTGGAATTTTTTCATCTTGTTTTTCATGGCAGCCATCACACAAACATTGGGGAACTTAGAAATAGCTTACGGATAATTAATACATGTACCCCGCCCAGCCGCCATACACTGGATGTATGAAAGGCTCAGAAGATAATATGTCACAAAAGGTAACCTGTGAATAATTTCTCATTACTTAAATTACGCCCCCCCCCCCCCTAATCAAGGGGTATGACAGAGTGTTTGTTACAGCATTTAAGATGCAAAAACCTCTGACAGGTAAAAGGGAAAAAAAGAGCAAAATCATAGGGGGCAATCATTCTCCCCCCCCCCCCCCCCCCCCCCCACCGGCACCACCTCTGCTTCATATTAAAAATCGGTAGGTTGTTATGGTTGGAGAACTAATTTTGCCTTAACAAGTACATGTAGAAATTTGTGAAGATGCATTCCATTTAACATGTAGGCCTTACAATTCTTTTTTAATGGTGTTCATGAAAAACTGAGATGCGTCACTAATGTCCTTTGGCAAGACATTACCGGTAATCACTAATTCCCTCTCTCCACTCAGATGTTAAATGGGTACCAGTTGGAAGGAATTTCTTCAATGCTGTGAAAACCTTACATGCTGGATGCGTGAACTATAACAAAATATCCAATATCATTATTAATAATAATAATAATAATAATAGCCTAATAGTCCACTCCAAATTTTATTAAACCGAAACGGAAATTCTTTTTGCCCAATTAATCGTGAGCCCGGCAGCCACTGAGCAGCGCCAGATCGACGTTGCTCTATCCCTTATTATTGAACGCCAAACAAGGTAGCAACAACTCCCATCTTTTATTACGGTTCTATAGGACACTATCCCCTGGACATCCATCCACCCCCCGGATAACCACCCCCAGTCAACTACTCCCTAGAACGATTAGGACAACTACCCCCCTCCCCCCGGATAACTACCCCCTACGACAACCATCCTCTAGGACAACTACCTCCCGGACAACTATCCTAGGGGTTAGTTGTCCGGGGGGTAGCTGTCCTAGGTAGCTGTCCTAGGGGGTAGTTGTCTGGGGGTAGTTGACCGGGGGGGTAGTTGATCAGGGGGTAGTTGTCCCGGGGGGTAGTCGTCCTAGAGGGTTGTTGTCCCTAGGGGGTAGTTCACTGGGGGTGGTTATCCGGGGGGGGGGGGGGGTGAATGTCCAGGGGGTAGGTGTCCGGATACGCATTATTACAATTATTTTTATTAAAAATAAACGAACACAAGATGTTTACCACTTACCGTCTCCCATTACAACCGGCTGATTTTGTGCGTTGTAAGCTACAGAAGAGAAAATTGATCGAAAATAAACAATTACATACAACCAAAAATATTTTCATGAAAAGACATCATAATTACACACATGTACTTGAACAGAAATTGTAAAACAAGAAACTATCATAATATGAAACTTTCATGAATTGTAAAGGATGGCATTTCCAAAAAATATATAGTCTTGTGTCAATAGTGAAACTTTTGGGAATCTGAACTACTTGCGAAATTCTCAGACATTTCATGCACACATACATTTCTGGTTATAAATTATGGTACATCTTTTGAGTATGTTGTACTGTTGAAAAATTTATGGCATTGAGATGGCAACTACCTAGAGGAATTTCCTAAATTGCCAACTAAAAGTTTTTCAAAAGTATGGAATTAAGTCGACCAGCTTTCTCTTTTGCACTGAATGCCAAGACTGAATGCAATTTATACAACAAAAATTGTGAAACTTGGCTTTAGGAAATGTGGTTCAGATGAGCAAATTTGTAATTGCCACAGTGGATTTAAATCCTTTTGGAATGAAACCAGTTTGGATTTAGCTCTTTTGGGAATGAAATCAAAATAACAAATTTCTGCATTTTGAAAATGTTTTTAAATGCAGTATATAGTACATTTGATTCTCATGTGTCAGATGCACACATTCATCCCCATCTTGAATTAAGCTTTTCATTTAGGGCAACTTGAAAACATTTCTCAGAAGCAGAATTTATAGAAGTTGTTAACGATTGATTTAGAGTAAGATTATTCAGTGTCAAATCACATGGACCCCCCCCCCCCCTTATTAAAAAATAGGGGCCATTTGAAAGGCATAGGGTTCAATTTTTTCCAAAGCCTTAAAGTTTTTGATAAAGAATGATACTTTACCTGCCGACTGGTATCCGTTATTCTGCTGAAACTGTGCACTCATTGGTTGGGCTATTGGCCCCCCTACTTGCCAATCTGTTGATCTTGTAATAAATTGTAATTTATATTGCTCCAGTTCATTTTGCAAATCCTTCCTATTCACCAATTCAAGTTTTCAATCACATCATCCACTTTATCCTTTGTAAGGACGGCTAACTGTTCGAGTTTGGTTATTAGGGCAAGGCCGGTGGATATCTCATCGATGTCGGTTTGGGTGAAACCCGGAATGTCCTTGCATAGAAATTTGAAGTCGTGGATTTCTTCAGGGGAGAGGGCTTTTCCGATCGTGAAGGCCACTTTCTTGTAGCATCTGTCCTGTTGGACATCAACATTTTGGAGAGCCATTTCTTGCCTTAAAATAAAATATATTCAAAAGCGAAAATTCAAGTATGTTAGACTTTTTATAAATTCCACATCAAGAACATGAAATCTCCTTGATAATAGAAAACATGAATGATTTGAATCAACATTTTATGCCTTATAAACTAACTTTTACAAAATATTTTCATAGATGTTAACGGCTTTCCATAATTGTTAAGTCCAACTTAGAGATAAGTTCAACTTAGGATCTTTGTGAAACATCCCAAAGTCTTAGATGCCCATTACACCAAGACCCAAACCTATCTCAGGGTGCCTAAGACTAGTCGTGAACACCCTTTTATTTAGGTGTAAACACACCAACCTTACCTTTTAGCGAATCCATCTTGGACCAAATTTAGTCTCTGGGCACACACACTTAGATTTAGTGTAAATGGTTAGCATACCGGTACCCAAAAGTACCAAGAAAGGTTTGAGTGCAGTACTAGTCTCAAGACAAAGACCATTGTAGAGGTGTCGTGGTTGAGTGGATACGTCACCGGACTGTAGATCATGAGATCCGCGGTTTGAGTCCTGCACTAATGTCCTTTGGCAAGACATTAATCTACATTTGCCACACTCAACCCAGGTGAGGTAAATGGGTACGTGATAGGATTATTTCTTGAAATCCACTGTGCGCTGATAATGGCTGCTGGAGCTAAAGCTAGGGTAATAATTTCCAAAGCTCTTTGGAAGCGCAGAGAAATGTTAGTTCGTCCAACTCCACTGATGAGACTAGAGTACATCGTACGGGTTAGTGAGGGGAGGTTACGCAATACAGTTTATGAGTTTATAGCGCACAGTTTTTACAAAAAAATTGACAGATTAACTGAAAGTGAAAGTAAGTCCTTATATTTTAATGTTTTACAATTGTTTTTAATGGCATTTTGATAGTATATGAAAATTAGATATATATTCTTTTTGATCATTTATTTATCTATGAAATCAAACTGGTAAGTCTATAAAAACTCTAAATACAGAAAAACTTATAAATTTTCGCCAACTTATGGTGAAAATCGGCTAATCAGTCCTCGTTGTGCATACGGCTAGGGTCACTGTCTGATTATGAGGAAGGTTGGCAAATGTCAGTTTGATTAAATAATTTCCCATACGGGTACCAGACGATTATTTCTGTTTACCCTTACATACAGTGTAGGCCCGTCACATAAGTATTCATAGAGTAAACGTTGCCCGAAATAACCGTCTGGTATCGGTAATTCTTCAATAAAACTAAAACTTGTCAACCTTCCAAGCTTTGTTATGTATAGAGGCGGACAAGCAGTGGAGCCATCTGGCATGGCTAATTCTTCAATAAAACTGAAACTTGTCAACCTTCCTAGCTTTGTTATGTATAGAGGCGGACAAGCAGTGGAGCCAGACGTAGTAGAGTCTCAGCAAAAGAACCATCGATATCAGAGACTGAAGCTTTTGGTCTAACTTCTAATCCAGACATTGTTTGTCCGGACAGTTGATCTACATTTTCTAACAACAATTTGAAGAAGTTTACAAGCAATATTTCATAAATCTTCTAAGAATTATGTTGGACAATATTAATTATTATACAGGACAAATATTCATGAATGGTTAGTGCTATTTGGTGAATATTTTCTGTTAAATCCAAAAGCAAAAGAGAAGTCTTTGGCCCAAATTCACAAAGGAGGTTTAAATTTATCCCAAGTTTTAAACCCCAACTCATTAACATAACCCATTGTTTAAAATTAGCGCAAATTAAGGGTAATTATTACTTTGCCTAATCCTGCTAAAATTGCGATTGTGCAAGTCAAATTCAGTAATTGAGGAGGCGAGTTGGCTCAGTCGGTAAAGCGTCTGCCTGTCAAACCAAAGATTCTGGGTTCGACTCCCACCCAGGTGGATGACTAAAGTCTGCGTTGTGTGTTAACGTGCCCCTCCCCTTGTTCATAGACGCAGGTTATGTCAAGTGGAAAACACTCCGTCCCTTGGATAGGACGTTAAATGGAGGCCCCGTGTACAGGAGAGTCACCACCCTTGCACGTTAAGAACCCATTGCACTATTCGTCTAAGAGTAGGGGGAAACCCCGGTGTAATGGTCCACCTGCACACCCCAATCAGGCCGAGTATACAGCATCTGCAAGAATCTTCAGTATTGAAGGAGGCAGATTATCTTGAAGAAGAAGAAGAATTGGTCATATGTCATCTGACCGTTTCAAGTTTATTTTACGCTAATTTTAGACCATGGCCATGGGTTAAATGTAAATGAAGATTTAACTTTAAGACATGAGTTGAATTTAAACCTCCTTTGTGAATTCGGGCTAGTAATAATGTTTGTAAAGGAGTGTTATGTACGGACGTGCATCCCACCCCAACCCCATGCCCAGGGGCCAGGCCCCAACCCCCACAATAATTGTCATTGACAATTTACAGTCATGACATGATATGATGATTAGACAGACTGATGATGATTAGATCTAGGTCTAGGTTTAGCTTAAAATTAGATTACTTCCTGCAATTTGATGATTTGACCCAATTAGAGACCGACTACAAACGTTAAATTACCTGGTACCGGCGCTAGTCTGTTGCAGAAAAGTTAATCTGTTGGTAAAAGTGATGATTTCACGAGAGCCCAGCTAGTAATAATGCCATCAACACCGCACACGATATCAACGTAAAACGACTAGGCCTACACACAGAGTAGTACAATGGAGCTGGAGTGAGAGAGTTGAAGCTTTTCTTCACACACCTAATCGGAGATGAAGGTAGCCCATCTTATGTGTAAAAAATGCCAATTTGATAAGTGTAAGGATCGCATTGTACACGTACAACCGCTATACTACACACACGCAATATATTCTTTGTGTATTGTATCCATCAGGCATGATCAGTGCAACGATGGCTGGCTACCAATTAAAATAGGCATGGTGGTCGGATATAATGAGAGTAGATGATGAGGGGGGGGGGGGGGGGGGGGTAAAGCGCAGTACTTAGGGGCAAATCAAAGAATTATACTAAGACCTCACCTCATTTATGTTAGAAATTAAAACGTTATTATCTTCTTTCGAATTGCAATATATCCCCGCACCATAATTATAAGCATGTCATGCATATATATGCCTTTTCTCTGGGAAAGGGGGCATTGACTCTTTAAATACCAAATCACATAAACTATTGCACCATTATGTCACCGTCATGTGCATATTTTCTATGGATATAATTTTTCACGATCTAAACTTTTCACCACCCTATAGCGTCATGTAAATTGTCAATTATGGATAAAGTGGAATATTAACTCTTCACCACCCTACGCTAACTTTTCACCACCCTTCCGTCATGTACATTATCTATGGATAAGCTGGAATATTAACTCTTCACCACCCTACACTAACTTTTCACCACCCTAGCGCCATGTACATTGTCTATGGATAAGCTGGAATATTAACTCTTCACTACCCTACGCTAACTTTTCACCACCCTACCGTCATGTGCATTGTCTATGAATAAGCTGGAATATTAACTCTTCACCACCCTACGCTAACTTTTCACCACCCTAGCGCCATGTACATTGTCTATGGATAGGCTGGAATATTAACTCTTCACCACCCTACGCTAACTTTTCACCACCCTTCCGTCATGTACATTATCTATGGATAAGCTGGAATATTAACTCTTCACCACCCTACACTAACTTTTCACCACCCTAGCGCCATGTACATTGTCTATGGATAAGCTGGAATATTAACTCTTCACTACCCTACGCTAACTTTTCACCACCCTACCGTCATGTGCATTGTCTATGAATAAGCTGGAATATTAACTCTTCACCACCCTACGCTAACTTTTCACCACCCTAGCGCCATGTACATTGTCTATGGATAGGCTGGAATATTAACTCTTCACCACCCTACACTAACTTTTCACCACCCTAGCGCCATGTACATTGTCTATGGATAAGCTGGAATATTAACTCTTCACTACCCTACGCTAACTTTTCACCACCCTACCGTCATGTGCATTGTCTATGAATAAGCTGGAATATTAACTCTTCACCACCCTACGCTAACTTTTCACCACCCTTATAGCGCCATGTACATTGTCTATGGATAGGCTGGAATATTAACTCTTCACCACCCTACGATAACTTTTCACCACCCTGCCGTCATGTACATTGTCTATGGATTATTAACTCTTCACCACCCTACGCTAACTTTTCACCACCCTACCGTCATGTACATTGTCTATGGATTATTAACTCTTCACCACCCTACGCTAACTTTTCACCACCCTTCCGTTATGTACATTGTCTATGGATTATTAACTCTTCACCACCCTACGCTAACTTTTCACCACCCTTCCGTTATGTACATTGTCTATGGATAAGCTGGCATATTAACTCTTCACCACCCTACGCTAACTTTTCACCACCCTACCGTCATGTGCATTGTCTATGGATAAGCTGGAATATTAACTCTTCACCACCCTACGCTAACTTTTCACCACCCTAGCGTCATGTACATTGTCTGTGGATAAAGTGGAATATTAACTCTTCACCACCCTACGCTAACTTTTCACCACCCTAGCGCCATGTACAGTGTCTATGGATTATTAACTCTTCACCACCCTACGCTAACGTTTCACCACCCTACCGTCATGTACATTGTCTATGGATTATTAACTCTTCACCACCCTACGCTAACTTTTCACCACCCTTCCGTTATGTACATTGTCTATGGATAAGCTGGAATATTAACTCTTCACCACCCTACGCTAACTTTTCACCACCCTTATAGCGCCATGTACATTGTCTATGGATAGGCTGGAATATTAACTCTTCACCACCCTACGATAACTTTTCACCACCCTGCCGTCATGTACATTGTCTATGGATTATTAACTCTTCACCACCCTACGCTAACTTTTCACCACCCTACCGTCATGTACATTGTCTATGGATTATTAACTCTTCACCACCCTACGCTAACTTTTCACCACCCTTCCGTTATGTACATTGTCTATGGATTATTAACTCTTCACCACCCTACGCTAACTTTTCACCACCCTTCCGTTATGTACATTGTCTATGGATAAGCTGGCATATTAACTCTTCACCACCCTACGCTAACTTTTCACCACCCTACCGTCATGTGCATTGTCTATGGATAAGCTGGAATATTAACTCTTCACCACCCTACGCTAACTTTTCACCACCCTAGCGTCATGTACATTGTCTGTGGATAAAGTGGAATATTAACTCTTCACCACCCTACGCTAACTTTTCACCACCCTAGCGCCATGTACAGTGTCTATGGATTATTAACTCTTCACCACCCTACGCTAACGTTTCACCACCCTACCGTCATGTACATTGTCTATGGATTATTAACTCTTCACCACCCTACGCTAACTTTTCACCACCCTTCCGTTATGTACATTGTCTATGGATAAGCTGGAATATTAACTCTTCACCACCCTACGCTAACTTTTCACCACCCTAGCGTCATGTACATTGTCTATGGACAAATGGTAATATTAATTCTTCACCACCCTACGCTAACTTTTCACCACCCTAGCGTCATGTACATTGTCTATGGATAAAGTGGAATAGTAACTCTTCACCACCCTACGCTAACTTTTCACCACCCTAGCGCCATGTACCAGGCGCGGATCCAGGGGGGAGCCGAGCGGGCCTTGGCCCCCCCCCCCCCCCGCAAAAAAAAAAAAAAAAAAAAAAAAAAAGAGAGAAGAAGGAAAAGAAGGGAAAGGGAAAGAGGAGAGAAGGGAAAGAAAGAAGAGGAAGAAAAAAAGAAAAGGGGGAAGAAGGAGATCGGGGGGCCGAAAGGGCCTTGACTCCCAGGCTGTTGACCCCCCCCCCCCCCCAATCAAAAAAATAAGAGAAAGGAAGGAAAGGGAAAGACATGACATAATTTCCGAGATTTTTCCTCACTTTTTAGTAAATACGTTTGTATGTGTTTGTTGGAGAATGACAAATTACTAAATTTACAGCAGGCAATAAATATGATTCTTGAGATCCCTCCCCCCCCCCCACTTTTTTGAAAAAGTATATTAAGAGAAATAAAATAGAATGAGAGCAAGAAAAAAAAATAGTTAACTGCCAGTGTTAAAATTAATGAGGCATCTAAATATGCTCATCTGACCGTGATTAAATGCCTAAAACCCCTAAGCTCCCGGGGGCTCTGCCCCTGGATTCCACCTAGGACCCTACGACGGGCCCTTAGATGCTCATCTGACGGTAATTTAATGCCTAAAATCCCAGATTTTTTGGGGCTCCGCCCCCTGGAACCCACGCCAAATAGTGACCTGCCAGTGTCATAAAATAATAAGGTATAAAAAAAAAATGCTCATCTGACCTTAATAAACGCCTAAAACCCCTGAGCTTCCGGAGCGGCTTAGCCGCCTCGACCCCACCAGGGGCCCTAAGGCGGGCCCCTGAATGCTTATCTGACCGCAATTTATTGTCTTAAACCCCTGAGCTTGCGGGGTCGGACAAGGTATCAAAATGTGTTTTATCTGACTGCAGGCACGTAGCCGGGGGGGGGGGGGCGGTCCCCCCAAATCAGAAGAGGACGTAGGAAGAAAAAGGAGCAGACAAAAAAACACCTTTAAAAAAAGGATTAAGAGTATAGAGAACGGTACAACGCATCGTCTTCTTTCTCTAATAATTTAATGAAACGTCAAAGCTTCGCTCAGGAGGGGAGGGGGAGGGGAACTGAATTCAGACAAGGATTAAGAATCGAGAACAGTACAGCGAATCGTCTTCTTTCTCTCATAATCTTGTGAAACGTCAAAGCTTCCGCGCGAAGCGCGGGAGTGGGGAACCTGAATTCAGATGAGGATTCAGAGGCGAGAACGGTAATACGAATCTTTAATGAATGAAACGTAAAAGCTTCCGCGCTTTGCGCGGGATGGAGGGGAAACTAAATTCCGACGAGGATTATTTTTCGAGAACGGTACAACGAATCGTCTTCTTTCTCTAATGATTTAATGAAAATTATAAAACTTCTGCGCTTAGCGCGGGAAGGGGGGGGGCCTGAATTCGGACGAGGATTAAGAGTCGACAACTGTACAACGAATCGTCTTCTTTCGAATGATTTAATGAAACGTAAAAGCTTCCGCGCTTCGCGCGGGAGGGGGGGGGGAACCTGAATTCAGACGAGGATTCAGTGTTCAGTGGCGAGAACGGTAATACGAATCTTTAGTGATTTAATGTTACCTTCCGAGCTTCGCGCGGGATATAGGGGGAACTAATTCCGACGAGGATTATTTTCGAGAACGGTATAACGAATCGTCTGATGATTTAATGATTAAATGATTTAATGAAACGTAAAAGCTTCCGCGCTTCGCACGGGGGGAGGGGGGGGGGAACTGAAGTTAGACGAAGATTAAGAGTCGATAACGGTTCAAACGAATCGTCTTCTTTCTCTAATAATTTTTTGAAATGTCAAAGCTTCCGCGCTTTGCACGGGGGGGGGGGGAACTGAAGTTAGAAAGAGAGTTAGAGAGTCGATAAAGAGTCGATAACGGTACAACGAATCGTCTTCTTCTTTCTCTAATAATTTTTTTGAAATGTCAAAGCTTCCGCGCTTCGCGGAGGGGGGGGAGGGGGTAAACTCGCCCCTACTTGCACCCCACCCCCTCCCAATTACGTCACTGCTGGTCACCATAACGTACCAATATTTGGCTCGCATGATTTCAAATTGCCCCCCCCCCCTAAGAAATCCTGGATCCGTGCCTGCATGTAATGCTCATGTACCCCTTACAGCTCTATTTATTACCAAAGCAATTCCCAATCATTCATTCATAGCGTCTGACGGTCAAGTCTTAAAAGTAAACAGGTTTCCTTGCATAATTTGAAATTCTATAGGACACTGCTGACAAATAGGACATACGTGACATATTCACAATTCCTGCAAAGTTCTTCAGACT